ACTTGTTGGGTCTTTCCCAAAAAGACTCATGGCTGTATTCGATCAAAAGGGTGCTTCTACTAAATACTGAGCAAAGGGTCTGAATACTTAGGACCATGTGATATTTCAGTTTTTCTTTTTTAATAAATCTGCAAAAATGTCAACAATTCTGTGTTTTTCTGTCAATATGGGGTGCTGTGTGTACATTAATGAGGGAAAAAAATTAACTTAAATGATTTTAGCAAATGGCTGCAATATAACAAAGAGTGAAAAATGTAAGGGGGTCTGAATACTTTCCGTACCCACTGTATATATATATATATATATACATACATACATACATATACAAGTAATTTCTATATATACAAGTTTTCATATATTTTTTGGAAATATACTCTTATTATTATTTTTTTTTTATTGAAAAAGTCTTACACACAAAGGTTGAGTGAGATGTCATACCTGCTTTTTTACAGCGGCAAGTGACTCGGAATTTTCATTCGACATTCTAGAAATCTGAATTTGTAAAGACTCCTGAAAAATAATAAGCTGTTAATATTGACATAAACTTTAGCCGTATAAATGGTTTAATATCTATAAATGCTCAGTCATTTCCTCAAAATCAATCCCTATTGCAAAAGTGTAAAAAATACCCTCTAACAAGGTCAATTTTTTTTAAAATAATGGAATCTTAGGAAGTTCTTTTTATCATCTAAAAACAGAAGTATTTTTATCATTCCTAACAAACCTTTTGCCATTCAAACTCCTGTTTCTCCAGCACAAGTTTACAAATCTGCTCCTCATATCTTGTTTCAGCATCCTGTATCCAAAATGTATACAAAACACATCAATATTTAATATAATAATAAGAAAGGACCATATGGAATTAAATGATTTACATTTAATGCAGGTATCTGAACATCAGAGAGGAGATTTTCACATAAACCCATCATTGTCCTGCTTTCATCTAGGACTGCAGGTTTAACTCAGTGGTTTTCTACATAGTGGCTTTTATTTGCATGTAGGAGTTTATTTGCATTTTCCTAATAAAGTGTGCTACTTGCTGTTAACGTTTCATGGAAGGACATTAAATTGAATACATGGGGTTTGAAAGTTAAAAAAGCACTCAAATTAGTAGGTCATGTGAATCTTTCAGGACAGAAACTGATTGCATATGTGATCGGATGAAATCTAATAAAACAAAGGACACATAAAACATGTTGAAATAAAAAAAAAAACAGCATGCAAAATATCACTCTAGACTAGTGTCATGCATCAGGACAATGCACTTGCAGCAGCTGGATGTTCAAATTTCCTGTTTCTGGCAAAACGACTGACAACATCGCAAGCTAATACAGTCATTTTAATGGAACACACTTTGCACTCTCTTAACAGAACATAAGAAGTGACGGCATTCAGCTGAGCGTGTTTGTCTGGCAGGAAATCCTCCATCTTAACCCCGGCCCTATAAACTAGAGAACTACAAAGTGTTAGTTTAATGGCATGCCTGAGGATCACATCGATTTAATGTCTTTGTTCCTCACCAACATCATAATAACAATAAAACATGAGAGATACAATTGTTTATTTTTGCTCGTACAACCTTTAAACATGTCCAGCGTGGGGTTTTAAGTGCTTTGCTCGAGGGTACCAGTCGTGCAGGCAAATATGTGAATTTGTCAGGTCCTGCTGCATGACCCCATTCTAATGTAAGTGTAACTTCTGCTGGCTTATACCCAGATGGACAGAAAGTGCTGCTTGCTTTTTCGTCTTCTGAACGCTCATGACACTCCTCCCACAAAATGACATTCCTCAGTTCTTCATGAACGGGCCAAATAGAGCCATCATGCCATTAGGATTCTAATAGACTGACATTCCTAATATACTGAGATGCCATTTAGCAGCCTTTTAGGGTGCTGATATTTGTCTGAGATTGCTCAAGCCCAATAAATATGTGCACACATCTTAGGGTAAAACTAATACGAAGATTTCTCAGCCAAGAGAAACATTTGTAAGTAAACTGAGTGTCTGATCTGACACTTACGAAATGATTCAATGTTGACAGGCTGATTTAGGCATTTTTAGAAATTTCTGAGTTGAATAAACCAGCCACATCTCAAAAAAGGTTTCATTACATTCTGCCATTTGCTTTGTTGCACAATATTTTTGGAAATCCTGATCGCTACACTCTAAAAAAATGCTGGGTTAAATACAACCCAGTGCTGGGTAAAAAAAGGGACACACCCAGCAATTGGGTTGTTTTGGCCCAGCGGTTGGGTTACTAACCAGAAGGTTGGGTTAAACATTTAACCCAACCACTGGGTCAAAACAGCCCAATTGCTGGATTTGTCCCTATTTTACCCAGCACTGGGTTGTATTTAACCCAGCATTTTTTAGAGTGTAATTATCTATGTAAATAAAGAAAGAAAAAAAATGAATGATCAGTAAAAAGATAAAAATATTTAGAAAATGAAAACAAACAAACATGCAGGAGTAATTTCTACCTGATCTGATGATTAAAATACTTTATTTACTTTAACCTAATGTAGCTATGTTAATTTAGTCATTTTAAATCATATTTAAAATGGTATTTTATTGATTTCTGTCAGTTATCACACAATAAACGTGGAACACACAACACTATTATACATGTATTTATTTAACACGTATTCAATTTGCACCTAACATACCTGTACATACTAAGTTGTCTATTTTGTATATTATTCTTTTTATTATCGGTGTCTTGTCACTGTCATTCTGTCGCACTGTGAAGCTTCTGTCACTAAAACAAACCACCTGGCAATAAAGCTCATTCTGATTCTGATTTAAATATTCATATTTTTGCCAATTGTGAAGACAAAACTAAATCAATACAAAATATATTTATTAATATTTGAAAAATAAATTGAGAAATATTAACTAAATAAATATATAAATGAATAGTAAGAAGACAACCCAGTTATTTCTACCTGATCTGATGATTAAAATATTTTCCTTACTGTAACCTAATGTAGTTAGTATTTCAAATATTATTTAAAATATATCATTTCATTGCTTTCTGTCATAGTTATTGCACTATTTAATTAAATAAATAAATACAGGGCAAAGGAAAGGTGACACTGAGGTTTTGTCATTTTTATCTTTATCTCATTCGATCAGGTAATTAATTAAAATCGTCTTTAATTGTTAAGCCTGGCAGGGCACTAATGGTAACGCAAAAAAACAACAATGAAATACACATCATTGTCTCCTCAAACCTTACACCTCTTGCTTGGTTTTCTCACATGAAAGGATAAAAGTAAGAGCCCATACCCTGTGAATATGCAGCTCTTCAACCGCCTCCAGGAGACTTGTTTTAAATTCCAGTACTTGCAGTGAGATGGTACGCCCGTCATTCTCTACAACAATGTTTGGGTTCTTCGGGCAGCCCAGGGCACCTTTATCTTCCATCTACAGACAAAAACAGCATGAGTGTGTAAATCTTGTAGTTTCATTTGTATTTCATTTAAAACACATCGCTCTACTTTGGAATATTTCCACTTACCAAGGAGAAAAGCTCTGTTCTAGAGTCCACACTCGACTCCATGGCACTTGGGAAGAAAAGAAAAACATTAAATCAAACAATCTATACAGAACCTAGAGATCAAATTTGGTATTCAGTTTTGGTACATAAAACAGCACCAATAAGATTAAATACATCAATGTTTAATAAATCATTTAACTAATAGAATTGATTATAATAAAACCGAAAAAAAAACAACAACTACAGATCAAATCTGGTGGTTTTGCTTTAGAAAACTGCAGCAATATGATTTTAGCCCAATTGTAGGCTGTCTGTGGTTGCGAATCAACATCCACATTAACATAAAATTACACCAAAGTGTGTTTATGCTTCAACCAATTTCATTTCATTTAGATAGATAATATTATAGATTTTAGTAATATTTTTTATTTCTATTTTTGTATTTTTCCTTTTAATTTTAGTTAAAGTTCTAATAATTTTGCTGTGTGATTTGTCATTTTTATTCATGTTTTAAATCTGTTTTTATTCATTTTTATTTCAGTTTTAGCTTTAGTTATTACTATGGAAGCCCATTTCCGCCACAGGATAAAAAATAAAAAAAAGGTAATTGTGACTTTGTTTCTCACAAATATAGTTTCTTTTTTTTTGCAATTCACAGTTAACATCTCACAATTCTGTTTACCAACAGAATTGCAAGAAAAAAAAGTCCTAATTGTGAGACATAAACTGAGAATTGCCCGATCAAAATTACCGCAATTACCTTTGCTTTTATGTTTTTTATCTTGTGGCGAAAAAACAGCCTTCCATATATTTCAGTACATCAAGTTAAACTAAATGAAAATAATAATACAAATAAAAATGTTGCCTTGAAAAAATATGTTTTCATTTCAGTCAACAGTTACTTGTAAAATAAATAATACAAAAGTAATAATGTAATAATAATTTTTTTTTTTTAATGGATTTGCTTTCAATGCAAATGTTTTTGATCACAAGTGCACATATCGGCTCTAAACGCAGCTCATCCTGTCAGAATTTAGAGCTAGAACTATTGGTTTTATCGTACTGCATATGTCAAAAACAATGCTACTACATAAATTTTGCCTCCTAAGAATATATAAACCACAGCTATAGACAAAGTTCAAGCCGTTGCATCAGAAAAAGCATTTTAAATCCCATCTCGAACCTATCAAGGTGAAAATGGCAGCATGGTGAGAGTGTAGGCTAATAGGGGTCGGGGCCATAACACCGGATGGACAGATGGCGCTGTCATTCAGAAGGAATTATATAAGATATCTAATTTGACCTGTGCATGGTCCGCTGTATCCCCATCATCATGACTGACTTGGAAAGTGGGAGGTCTTCATTCTGCCTGGTGTTTTAATAGAAGAAAGGCTTTCGTCCATTTAGCCGCTGCTGATATATCAATCATGTGCAGGAAGTAAATGATCCCGTTAGAATTTGCTACTATCACAAATGACCTGGAGGGCCAATGTCTTTATTCGCTTCCTCCGCTGATTCACCTCAGCAGATATTAAACAACTTTATAAGCCATGAAAGGCTGAATTAAAAGGACACCATCCATAAAATGGGATAATTCCCTGTCTGTGGTATGATGTCCATATTACTGTCATAGCTGCTGATCTGTAAATGTGAATGGCAGTGGACGGGACTTCAGGTGAAAACCTGCTGGAAGTTCAGATTTAACCTTTGACCTCAGCTGATCAAACAGTAGTTTTGCTTACAGGGAGAAATTGGGATTTAATGTCTGAGAAGACTTTTAACCCCTAAATAAACATTACTACCAGAAACACTTTTCTGAGATATTAAGAAATAGTCTGTATCCTAAACGGAAGTAAATGAAAGCAGCTTATCGTAATTTTTAAAGTCATTTTATTATTAGTCATTTTTAAATTAAACTAGTATTTTTGCATAAGCTATTATAGTTACCATGGTAAATTATTGTTATAGGCTGAATAGGCTATAAACATTTTGAACACTCTGAA